ACAAATTATTTTGAAAATTTCTTCATAAAAAAAAAAAAAAGAAAAAATTGAAATTTTATATTTTCTAGAAAAAAAATATTAAGAAAAAAAAAGAAAAAAAAAAAATTTTATTTGACAAAAAAAAAGAAAAATTGTTCAAAAAAAAAAAATATATTATTCTGATTTCTAATATTGAAAACTTTGAATAAAAAATAAAGATTGTTTAGAAACAAAGATAATTATTTTAAAAATGGAAAACCTTTAAAGATGAAAATTTTAGAATTTAAAAAAGAAACAGTACAGAAAAAGAAAATTTGAAAAGGAAAAAAAACAACGCTTAATTTTATTTGAAAAAAATTCATCACCTAATATCCATTTTCAAAATGTTGAATATGAAATAAAATAGGCAAAAACATAAAAAAAAAAAAAAAAAATATTTTTTAAATAAATGATTCCTTTTAAAAATTTCATTTTTGAAAAAAATTTAAGATAAATATAAAAATTTGATATAATGATGAATTGTACTATATTTTTCTTATAGGAACAAAAAATATACAAATATTAAGGATTTAAAAATGGAAAAAATTTTTTTATCCAAAATAAAAAAAAAATCAAAAGAATAAAACAAAATAAGAATAGATAAAATTTAAAAAATATTGAAATAAAATTTTATAGTATTCAAACTATTTGCATCATATTTACATTCTAAAATTTTTATTGAAATTTTTCATCAGAAACGCCATTTTAAGATTCAATGAAAAATAAATATATAAAAAATTGGAAAAAAATGTCCATTCATGATTTTTTTGATTTGTTTTAATATAATTTATAAAAGATTATTTTAAAAAAATATAAGTGAATAAAAAAAATGCAATTGAAAAATCCAAAAATATTGAAAATAAAAATTAATTTTAAATTTTTTCATAATGTCAATTATTTTTTCTAAAAAAAAAATATTTCTTTAATAAAAAAAAAATTTTAAAAATTTTTTGAATGAATTTCAATTTAATTAAAATTTTTCTTCATCTAAAATTTATCAAATAAAAAAAAAAATTTAAAAAATTAATAATGAAATTGTATTTAAATAAAGTCTGAAAATTTAAAAAAAAAAAAGAATAAAAAAAAAAAGTTGTAATTCAAACAAAAAAAAAAAAAAGATATCAAAAAAAAAAAAAATTTTAAGAATCATCTAATATTTTAATAAAAAAATCTTTTTAATTCATAAAAAAAAATAAATTTATTTTGTTATAAAAAATATTTCAAAAATTGATTTTTTTCTAAAATTTTTAAAATAAATAATAAATTTTATAATTGTCATAAATCATTCAAAAAAAAAATCAAATATACCAAAGGATCTAAAAAGACAATTAAAATGTTATCATGTTTCGAAGAAATAGAAATAAAAGTTTATTATATTAAAAATATAAAAATTATAGAAAAATTAAAAATATATAATATTTTATAATATTTAAGGATATATTTTGAATATTAAATAAAAAAATATATGAAATTTTTTTTATTTTTTTTAATGATAAATAAATATGAAAAATAAAATTGATAATCTAAAACGAAATATATTTTAAATGAAAAAATGAAAATGCTGGAACAATTATTTTTTAATGAACAAAAATAAAAAAAAAAAATAGTCTAAATTTTATATTTTTTATTTTTTTTTCATTAAAATTAAAAATCATTTTCTAATGCATATTTTCATATATAATAATATTAAATAATTTTAGAAATTTAAAAATGAATTTTTTTGAAGATTTCCCAATATATCTTTTCTTTATTTTTTTGAAAAAAAATCTTTCTATTTTTAAACTTGATCAGATTTGTTAAAATATTTCAAAAAACCTCTTTTTATCGTAGGATTTAAAAAAAAAATATTTTAAAATCTATCTGAAATTTTTTTTTGTTAACAAAATAAATAATTTTCCAAACGCAAAACTTTTTATCTGTCATTTTTTTTTTCTTAATAATAATCTATTTATATAAAATTTAAATAATAAATAATAAATATAGTTTTTTGTGCATTTTTAAGTGAAAATATTAATTTTTTTATATATTTTTTTTCGCGTTATCTTTTTAATTTTCAAATAAACAATTCGAATCTATTTATTATTTTTGTTAAAGAAAAGTTTATTTTTTTACTTTTACAAAAAAAAATAAATAATTAAAAAAAAAAGTGAATATATAAAAAGAATATAATTATTTTTAATACTTAAAAAAATTTCTAATTTTTTAATTTTGAATTTTTTAAGGTCGAATATTTTATAATTTAAGAAAATAACTGTGATGTGAAAAGAAATTTGTTTTTTAAATTCCATGTAAAATAAAAATTTTAATTTCCAATTTCCTCTTTTATTTGAAACTGTTTTGCAAAATTATGAAAAAAAAATCAAAATTTCATTAACAATTTTTGATTCATTTTTTTTTTGTCTATATAATCTACTTTATTCTGAAAATTTTGAATAATAATATTTGAAAAATTTTTTTATCCTCATAAAAATGTAAAATTTTAAAAAATTTCTCGGATTTTTACATAAAATAAATTTGAACTTTTATCCGTTTTAAATAAAAAATATTCAACAACTTTTTTTATTACTTTTTTTTCGGACTGTATTAAAAAAATTTTATAAATGAAAAATTTGAAAATAGATTTTTGAATTTTCTCTCTACATTTTAAAAAATATTCTAAATTAATTTTAAAATATTTTATTTAATATATTCATATATTGATAATCATTTAAAAAATTTTTATATATTTATAATATATATAAAAATGAATTTTTTTAAAAAATATTTATATTATTTAAAAAATTTTTTTTATATTTTTCCCATCAAAATATTTATAACAAATAAAAATTTTAAAACAAAAGAAAAATTATTTCCAAATATTAATGGTATTTAAATAAAATTTTATAAGAAAAAACAATATTTTTTTAATTTAAATTATTTTTTTGATTAAATAAATTCCTTGCAAGAAAAATTTAAAGTTTTTCAATTCTTTTATTAAAATAAATTTTATAAGAGGGTAAAAAAAAAAAACGTTTTAAAAAAAAAAAAGTTTTTTAAAATAATAATTTCAAAAAAATATTTTTCGTTTGTTAAAAAAAAATTTTTTTCAATTATAATTTTATAAGCATGTTGAATAAATTTTTCTTGCAAAAATTAAAAAAGGCATTCAATATTTTTAAAATAAATATTTTATTCATTCTAAACAAATTATTTCTTATTTTTTTTTCTAGATAAAATTTTATAAACCTATTTTTATTTTTTTTCTATTATCAGTTGGAAATTAGGCAACCTTTTTTTTTGATTAGAATAAAATTAAATCATTTTTTTAGATAAATATATTTCCAAATTTTTTTTCTTTTTATAAAAATCTTTATTATTAATCATTTAATTGTGTCAATCTGCAATGGATAAGTCTTTTTTCAAAAATATATGAGATAAGAAATGAAATTTTATTTAAACTTTATTGAAAATTTTCGAAATGATTTGAAACTTTTATAAATTTCCATAAACCCTTGTCATTCAAATAAGCATTGGATAAAACATATCCATGGATATAACATTTTTTAAATTTTTATTCATTTATATTTAATTTTAATTTGAATAGAAATATTAAAAAAGCTAATTACCTTTTTTGAATTTAAAGATACATATATTTATTTATATTGAATATGTATTATACCCTTGTGCAAATTAATTGAAACAAAACGAAATAATTCCGTTATTATTTACTTTCTTTTTTTTTTCCAATGAAACATGACCCAGTTCACGTTAATACTTTGTATGTCTATTCCACAAAGTCGTTCCTTGCAGATTGACCACAGATTCTCGATTGGATTTAAATCAGGAGAGTTTCCAGGCCAGTCTATAGTACTTTGATTTGCTCACTGGTAAGGCTTGCCAGTGTGTTCGTGCAACGTTACAATTTTTGTACGCTTCCTTGGAGTAACGTCCATCGCAGACAATGGCCGTAGGACAACTAATCGACAGTCGAGACAATAGTGTCTGGACGTGATAAAAATCTGATGCAATCACGGATGACGCAATATTTTTCAAGGCCAAACAAATTTCATCATGCACTTCGTAAATAGATTTAGATTACTACACACCACTGCAAATGACCTAATATGAGGAAAAGAAAATAGAAATCGATTACACCCTGTCACTCCAGTGGGTCTAAAAAACTGACCGTATGGTGAAAGAAAGGAAACTAAAGCGGTTGTTTTAAATTTTATCATCCCCATTTTTATTTTTTTTAAAATTTTTTTTGGACATATAAAAAAAATAATATTTGTTTTAAAATTTTTAACAATATGTTTTCAAACGCATTTAAAATTAAAAATTGATTTTTAAAATCTATAAAATATTTTATTATTAAAAGTTGTATAAAAATCCATGACGAATAATGATTTTAATTTTTCTGCTGGATATAACGTTTAAATTTTTTAAGAAATTTTTTAATTATTCTTAAAAAATTTAAAAGAACAATGTTCATGAAAATGGCACTTTTTTCTGATTTCCAATGGATTTTTTTTTTTAAAGATCCTTTTTTTTTCCAAATAAATGTCTTCCATAGATTTATATAATTTAAATTAAAAATTAAAATTTAGAATATTATGTAATTATTTTTTCTAAAAAATTTTCGAATTTGGAATAAGTATTTTTTATTTTTTTTTTTAATCATTCACAATTTTTGGATAGTCTTTGGCTGTTTTATTTCTTTAAAAAATTCTTAAGGGTTTTTTTTTCATGAAATTAGTTTTTTGAACTTCTTTTTTTTTTTTTTATAATTTTAGAAATGAGAAAATAATATTTCAAGAATTTCATAAAACATTAGAAATTTAGATAATAATATATTTAAGATTTTTTTTAAATTTTTTTTTTTTCAATCTTTTTTTTAAAAATGATTGATTTTTTCAAATATTTTTTACTTCATTGTCCATTTCTTGAACTATAATCAAAAATATTAAATTTAAATGATGAGAATTAATTATATAACATTTACATTATTGTATATATATATCAATATATATATATATATATATATAAAATATATTATGAATCTTATAAATATTTTATTTAATTTGTCTTTTATTTCCATTATTTTCAAAAGATATCCTCAGTTCGTTTTTATACGATTACCATTTATATATATATGGATCCTAAAAATAAACTATTTTTTTAATTACTGAACATCTGGTCTTTTTTTTGAAATTTATTCTTGGAAATTTATCCCATTCTTTCAATCATTGATCTGGCCTTATTTTAACTCTTTCCATAATATAAAAAATTTTAATTTATTTTTCCATTTAATTTATTGAAATAATATTTTTTTTTAATTACTTTAAATGGTTTTTTGGATTTGAAATTGATGAATAACAATATTTTGATAAAAAAAATCAAATTTGTTTTTACAACGCTAAATTTTTTTCTTTGATATATATATCCTTTTTTTTTCAGACCCTTAATTTTAAAAATAAAAACTTAAATTTTTTATTCTATATTCATAAGGATTTTGAAATTTTCAAAATTTATATTCACCAATGGTATTTAAAATTCTTTTTTTTATTATGTTTTTAAAAAAAAATTCCACCGATAAAATTTTTAAATTTTAAGCCATTTTCCATCCTGTCAATTTCTAACTAATATTTAAACTAAAAAAATCAATGAACATTCAAGCACTTTTTTTATTCTTTTTATGAAAAAACAAATTTTTATATTTTCGATTCTTTTCTTAAATTTTTATTTGAATATTTTTTTGTTTTTATTTCAATATCCAATTTTTTTTTAAATAAAGATCTATCAAATTTTTTAAAATTTTGATTTTCCAAAAATTTTTCTTCAAAATTTAAAATCTTTTGTTTTTTTTTTTTTTATATTTCTTAAAATCCTTTTATAAATCCAAAATAATAAAATGAAAATCAAAAATTTTTTTAATTTTTTTTTTTAAATTGATTTTATTTATATCTATTAAAATATTTTAAATATATATATTTATTTATAATTTAACAAAAAATCTAATTTTAATTAATGAATATTTAATGAAAAGATCTATTTGATCAATAAATTGAATTTTTTTTAATTAAAAACATTATGTACATATTGAATAAAAAATTCATCAAAATGTATTTTTATTAAAATAAAATGTTTGAACTTTTTCCCTAAAATTTATCCAAAAACAATTTTAATAGATATTTTATGAAATGTTATTTTAAATTCAAAGGTTTAATATTTTCTTTTGAATCACATTTTTAAGGGTTTTTCAATAATTTTTAATTGAATTTTTATTATTCTTAAATTCTATAAATATTTAAATTCGAAAAATTTAAAAAAAATTTACAAAAATATCTTTTTAAGAATTTTTTGAGAAAAAATATTTATTTAGACAGGATAATTTTTTCCAATCTAAGGAGTATAAATATATATATATATTTAAGAATTTATATATATATATATATTTAATTATGTCATTATTTCATTATTTTAAAATTGCAAAATAAATATTTTTTTTATTGGTCAAAAATGTTTATTTTAACCAAATTTTTTTAAAATGTCAAGTTATGTTTTTTTCAATATTTTCTTTATAAATTTTTTCGAAAAATTAGATATTTAATTTAATTTTTATAATTTTATATTGTCAATGATAATCCAAATATATATCAAATTGATTTATTTTTAATATTATTTTATGGATTCTTTAAAAAAAGTAAATTTTAAAATCAAATAAATCTTTTTTTATTTTTTTGAAAAATTGAAATGATGGATAAAAAAAAAAAAAAATCTTTAAATTTTTTTTTTTGGTTTGGACAAATTTTATATTTTAAAAATATATATTTAAAATCTTATTAACAAATAAATAAGAATTAAAATTATAAAAAATTTTTTTCTATGGTTTTTATTTTATTAATTTATAGAACAATTTATAATATATATTTTTCTTTTATTCATTTTTTTTTTAAATTTTGGATTTTATTGGAGAAAAAGAATTTTTTAATTTTTTTTATTTTAAAAAATTTTTCTCAACTTTCATTTTGTATTATTTTCTTTCTTTTTGCAAATATATTTACATTGCTCAAATATAAAAATGGCCAAATTTAATAATTTTTGAACAATATATTTTTACATGATTTTGGTTGATATTACTTTAAATCGTCTATTAAAATAGAATGTCTTATGTCGAAAAAAAGCTTTAATAAAAAAATGTATTAATTAAAAATGCCTTAATTTAAAAAAAATTTCCATTCATTCTAATTATAATTTAAAAATTTTATTTTTTATATTTATACCCTCATTGAAAAAATAATTTAAATATTGGACAATTTTAATATTTTTATTTGGAATTTAATAAATTTCAAATTTTTGTCATTTTTTAATTTTTTTTAGACAATTATTTTATCCTTTAAAAAAGGACCTTATTTTTTTTTTAATTTTTTTGTCTATTTTAAATTTCTTTTTTAAAAGAAAGATTATTATTTATTTTAATCGAAAAAAAAATTTAACCAATGTTTAAATTTGTGAATTTTTTTTTTAAATTTATCCAAAAAAAATTTAAACAAAAGGTTAAAAAAAATCTTTATGTTATTTAAAAGATATTTTATTTGATTTTGAAAGGTTTTTTTAAATTTTTAGAAATACATTTGTTTTAAATAAAAAAGTATTAAAAATTTTTCTATTTTTTATTATTTATTAAAAATAAAATATATAAATATATTAATTAAATACTGTAATGTGGATTATATGTAATTTTTTTTTTTTTTAGAATTAAAAAAGAATTATTTTTTATAAAAATACATATAATATATATATTTCATTTGACTTAAAAAAAAAAATATTATGAGATTTTTGAAAACAATTAATTAAATATGTTTTAATTTTAAAATTTTTAATGTGAAAATTTCAAAAATATTTCTATAAAGTTTTTCCTTTTAAATGTTAAAAAAATGAAAACAAAATTAAAAAAGGAACATTATTACTTAAAAAAATTTATTATATAAAAAAGAAATTTTAATTTAAATTTTTATCTAATTTTTCATATTTGTATATTAAATTAAATTTTTATGAAATAATATTTTCAATTTTTTAAAATATGATTAAATAGTTAATATTAAAAATCATTAATATTTATTTGATATATATTTAAATGATTCACACATCTTTATGGGAATTTCTTTATATATAAAATATTTATATGTATATAAATATAAATAAATTAATGTGAAAAAATTTTTGATTTTTTATAATGTTTTATATTGTATAAATTGTTATGTATCATATGATATTATTTTGACCCAATTTAGAAGTTTGCAATTATTATATATAATAATAATTGGTTATTATATAAATATAAATATATTTATATATTTGTACTTTTATTATTAAAAAAAATAAAAAAATTAAAAAATATATAATGTAAAATTTTATAATTTTTATTAAGGATATAAAGGAATTGATCAAAAATATCTAAACATATTTTTTGGCAACAAAATTCTATATAACGTAAAAAATGGAATGTAAGATTTTCCCATTTATTATATCCATTTATGAATAAAAGTTTTTAATATTATCGCAAATATTTAAAAATATAAAAAAATGGAATTATTTTTAAATTCTCAAATTTTTGACGATGTTTTTCTTAAATGAAATTTCATTCTTTTTTTTTTATTAGCGTTTTATCAGTTTAGAAACTTCAAACATCTGACCAAAAAATTTAAATATTAAAAAATATAACATGAATGAACAATTCAGAACGAGATATCTAAAAAGAAATAAAAAAATTTATTTTTTGATTACAATAAAAAAAATATTAAAATTATATACCGTATTGGCTCAACAATCAATGGGTATGTCCCAATCCTCATAAATTTAAATTGGACACTTTGTGTTTGGGGTAATATGTCTGTTTAAGTAGTCCACCACTAGCAGTGGTTTACCTACTTCACGCCGCTGGCGAGTATTGTATTTTGTTGATGTTATAAAGATTACCATTTCATTTCCAACCTCCGTTTTGGTTATTCCTCATTCAGTAACCCTTTCTAGATTACAAATGTATCTATCTATATATCTATCTATCTATCTATCTATCTATCTATCTATCTATCTATTTATCTATCTATCTATCTATTATCTGATCTGTTTAATCTATCTATCTATCTATCTATCTATCTATCTATCTATTCATCTATCTATCTGTTTCATCTATGTATCTATCTATCTATGTTATTTAATTTTAATATGCATCTATCTATCTCACATATTTATTCCATCTATCTATCTATTCATCTATCTATCTATCTATTCATCTATTATCTCATCTATTCATTCATTCATCTATCTATCTATCTATTCTATCTATCTATTCATCATATCTATCTATCTATCTATCTATATGTATCATCTATCTATCTATCTATCTATCTATCTATCTATCTATCAATCTATGTTGTTTCTATCTATTCATCTATCTATCTATCTATCATCTATCTATCTATCTATCTATCTATCTATCTATCTATCTATCTATCTATCTATCTATCAGTCTGTTCATATCTATCTATCTTCTATCATCTATCTATCTAAAATTATCTTTTATTTATTCTATCATATCTATCTATCTATTCAAATCTATCTATCTATCTATCTATCTCTATCTATCTATCTTCATCTATCTATTTCTATCTATCTATCTATCTATCTATCTATCTATCTATCTATCTATTCATCTATCTCTGTTATCTATCTATCTATCTATCTATTCTATCTATCTTTTCTATCTTCTATCTATCTATCTATCATCTCTATTGCATCTATCTCATATCATCTATCTATCTATCTTCTATCTATCTCATCTGTTGACATATTTTTTCATCTATATATCTATCTATCTATATATATTCATTTATATATCTATCTATCATCTATCTATCTATCTATCTATCTATCTATCTATCTATCTATCTCAGTCTTCGTCTATCTATCTATCTGTCTATCTATTATCTATCTATCATAATATTAAAATATCATTTAATTGTTCACGTCTATTTATCAATCTATCTATCTATCTATATAATCTATCTATCTATCTATCTATCTATCTATCTATCTATTTCTTTATTTATACCGTAATCTATTTTATGTTATTAAAATAATACATAAAATTTTTATTCTTAATATTCTTTAAATCAGAGATATATCTATGGATCTCTAATATATGGATGTAGTTTTCATGGCGCATCATATATCCCATTTTTGTTATTATTCCTTTCTATAGATCCCAAGATTTAAAGTTCTATATTTATATCATATAAAATCTAGAAAATTTTTCTATCAATTAGCTATCTCTATGTATTTTGATTTTATTTTATCCATAAACATGAAATTTTTTTTATCTATCTATAGTTTATTTTTTTCTGAGCGAAATAAAGGGTTCATTTATTTTAACACCTATCAAATCTATTTATATTTATTAATATACAATTTAAATATGGCGACAAAATCTGATGACAATTAAAAATAAAATCACAGTTTTTTTTTTGTCCGTTTTTATAACATCATTTATATTTTGGTTTTATCAAAAAAAATTTTTGTTAAAACAAAAAAATATTTAATTAAAAACAGAAATATATGTAAATATGAATATCCATTTAAATAACGTTTAAAAAAATGTTCATGAAAATAAATAAATTTATATATATATATATTTTACATATCTATATATATATATATATATATATTTAAAAATGGACAAAGTGGTTATTGTACGTATTTTAAGACATTTTTATGTTTATATGTTCAATTTATAAATATCAAATATTTTGTATAAATATAATTTATAAATATTTAACATTATTGCCATTTTTAAAATAAAAATTAATATTTGGAAAAAAAAAATATATATAAAATCCATTAATTTAAATTTTTTAAAAATAATGTTAAAAAAAAATTTAATGATTTTTATCATTTTATTCAAGTTTGGAAAAATAATTAAAATAAGAAAAATTGTTGAATTATTTTTATTTTTGATCCTGATAATTACATTATTTTCTAATAAATATTGTTTTTGAAAAAAAGATTGTATTTTATCAGGAATTTTCCCCCATTTTTGTCTATTTATTCACTGATCATAAATGTCTTATATATATTATGAAATTACATTATTGTAAGATATAAATAGGTTAAATAAAAATAATACATTGAAAAAATAACTAGCACTTTTATTTATGATCTCATTCATTTGATTTTTTTCTTTTCTTTTTTTTTATTTCAAATTCATAAAATAAGCAACAAAAATCAAAAAAAAAAAATTGAACATTTTATTTCATTAAGTTTTTATTTATGGCATAAAAATATATTTTATATATAATAATATAAATGTGATTCCATATTCATAAATTTTTGATAGTTGAATAATATTTTCATTTGATCATATATCTTATTTAAAAAAACCTTTTTTATTTTCTTTTCAAATTTTTTCAAAAATAAAAAAATATTATTAATTTCCTAAAGAAAAATGGGGAAAGGTTCATTCATATAAATAATTTTTTGTCTTAAGAATTTGTAAATTTCTATGACTTTAAATGGAATTATATTTTTTCGAATTTTTGAATTTTTCTCTTGTTTATATATTATTTAATTTTTTGTGTTTGTTTTATCTATGTTAAAGTCAAAAAAAAAAAAACAAATTTTTTATTCAAAATTCTGTTTTATTTAAAAATTGTTTAAAAATTATATAAATATTTAAAGAAAAGAAAATCTCAATCCATTTGTTTTTGACGTAAAAAATTTTTTTTTAAATGAAATTCAATTTATTAATATATAATCTATGATATGTTTTTATTATACATTGGAATTTTGAATTTTTTTTCGTTAAATGTTAAAGTTTTTTTTAAAATATCCATTTTTATATATATATTTTATATATAAATATATATTTATATATAAATATATATTATATAAATTGAATATCAAATTAAAATGGGCAATATCATTGATTTGTTTAAATTTTCTTTTTAACAATTTTACATATATATGAATGTGACAGTATTCAAAAAAAATAAAGGGAAGAAAAATGTCTTAAAATATATATATAAATAGATATATAATAAAATTTAAAATATATAATATTATTAATTTGATTTATAAAAATTTTGTTTGATTTATTTATTAATTGGAATTATGATATTATTAAAATATATGTCTTTTTGTATTTAGATTTTGGATTTATAAAATTTTGAAGTTTTTTTTTTCGTTTTTATTACTAAGATTCCTGAAATTTTTTTTTTATCCAAAAAGGTTTCATCAAATTTTGATATAATTTAAAAACAAATACAAAAAAAGAAATTTGAAATTTATGGTTTATTTTTGAAAATCTTTTTATTTTCAATGTGATAAAATTAATAAAAAAACCATAATTTAGATTTATTCTATTTCTAATTCTTTAAAATAAAAAATCCTGGGAATATATGATATTTAAGAACAAATGAATATATTTTTCATATTCTACATAAATCACATTTTGAAATTATATATTTTATTTTATTTTATCTTTTAATTTAATCTTTATAAATAAATTTTAATAATTATTCTTTTAATTTTAATTTTAAAGACACTAAAGATGTATCTGTATTATATATATTTATTTATTTTAAAATTCTATATATTATTAATTTTATATATAAATATATTTTAAATATATATTTTTTACATCTATGAATGTTAATTATCTTTTAAATTTATTTATATATATTAAAAATTGTTATCGTTTTAATGGAATATCAAATTCAATAAAACCATAAAAATATTATAATCATGATAAATTTTTTCAACATAATTTTTTTATTATTTTTTATATAAATCCAGGTTTCAAAATTTTTAATATGAGTTTTTCTTCAGATGATTGAAAATGTTAAATAATTTATAATGACATTTTCATATATATTTTCAAATGATTAATAGAAAATCAATCAAAAATAAAAAAAACATTTAATTTTTTTTTTTTTTTTTAATTATCATTAAAAATTGATTGAAACAAAATAGATTAAGTCCAAATTTAATTAAATTTATCAAATTTCCAAATGGAATATTTATTAAATTCAATTAATTCAAACTTTAAAATTGTAAATTTTTACCTGGCGGATCCATAATTATTTATTTATTTTTTTTATTTAAAAAATTTCATGGATAACCTGATTCCAAAAATTTTATTTTATGTTTAAATATATTTATTTAAATAAAAAGAAAAAAAGTATTGAATAAAATTTTTTTTTTATTTTTGCATTTTTAATTAATTTAAAATATTATTTAAGATGGATTATTTAAATTAAAATTTATTATAAATATTTATTTATTTTTTTTATTTATATTTAAATATATATTTTTATATATTTATATTTATAAATATAATATATATATAATTAGATTTAAACATTTAAGTTTAATTTTTTATTTTTTATTTTTTTTTCTTTTTATTATTTTAAAAAATTATTTAAAATAACTTTTTAAGATATATTTTGCGCAATTTAACATTCTTGAATTTATTTTTGAATAATAGGTTATTTAAAATTTATTTATATATATTTCAAATAATTGATATAAAATAAAAATTTTATATTATATTTAATATATAATTTTCATCTAATTTTATTTCACATTTAAGCTTTTAAAAGTTTATTTCAAATAAATTTATATATGTAAATAAATATATAATATATCATTCTCTAACTTAATATATATAAATTTATTTATTATATATTTTATATATTTTAAAAATTCCATTTATATTTTTTATATTTTTAATTATCTTCATAAAAAATATTTAACAAAGAATTTAAATTCCTATATTTTATTTCAAATATGTTATAAATTAAAAATAAAATATTTTTTATATAACACATTACACAATAAACACAAAAATATATAAATATATATATATATATAAACTATATATATATAATTATATATATTATATTTTATTTTTAATTTTAAAAATTTTTATTTTTTTAATTCATTTTAAAAGAAAAATAATTTTTTTATTTTCTTTTTTAAAATATTTAATAAAAACATACTATAAGAATTTACAAATTTTTACAAATATATATAAATTATATATATATATATAATTTTTATATATAAATATATATATATTCAAAAGATATATATAATGTTTATAAATTTTTTTAATTTAAATTTTTTAATGTTCATATATTTATTTTAAAAAAGTATATATATATATATATATATCATCAAAAAATGTATAAAAATATTTATTATGAATATTGTATCCATTAGCCAATAAAAATATTCAAGTTTAATTTATATTTATATTAAATTTTATTATTGGCATATTTAGTATTTAATTAACTAGTTTACAGTTTATTTATAAAATTTAAATATATTAAGAATAAAAATATATATTTATATATATTATATTTAAATTTAATAAAAATATATTTATATTCAATCCTGTAAAAATTTAATGAATTTATATATTTTAATATAATAAAATATTTTATTATAAATATATAATATATATATAAATTGACATACATAAATATTTCAATTTAAAATAAAATTTAAATTATTTTTTTCATCTATAATTAAAAAAATTCATGAAAATTTATAATATATTTAAATAAATATATATATATATATATATATATATATATATATATATTAAGAAATGGACAAGGTCCGACAATTTATTTATTAAATACATTTTTTATGTTTAACGTTGTTATTTTATAGATACAAGTATTTAAGCAAATGCTCTGTTTATGATAAACAGTATTAAATAACATTTACCGGCCTGAATGTCCGAGAAATTTTCATAGAAAATATTCGTTCTTTGACAGGATTCGAACCTGCATCCTATACGGAACCGTCATATACGCTGACGTGCCTTACCGTTTGGCTACAAAGAAGACCGTTCGGTAGACAAGGTCGAATTTACTGCTTATAAACTTCAATCTTCCATGAATCTCGTACATTCATAACTGCTCTGGCGTATCAAAT